CGCTTCATTTAAATTTACATGGCTGCCGCGCTGAGCCGACAAACAGCTGTCGGCTCAGCGCGGCAGCCATGTAAATTTAAATGAAGCGGCGATTATTTAAATTGCCACTTCATTTTACTGTGTCGGGTAGCCTAATCTACATGCCTCTGGCGCCAGAGGCATGTAGTCTAGACGTACCCTAAGATTCTACTCGATACTTGTGTATTCAGAACTTTTACTAGTCAGAGATTAGATACACTATGGCATTGTTCTCTTTATTAAGGAACTCGGATAATGCTTAATTTAGTCCTTTTTTTCTAGATATAGAAGAAAACAGCAAGCTTGGAGATGAGGGGAATTCAACCTTTTAAGTCCTAAAACTCAAGATTCAAAATAAAACTTTTATTTGCAGGATTATTTCTGCTGATCACTGCATACAAAACAAATACAGTTTTCCTCAACATAGATTCTTGTGATTAAAAATATCCTTGCTTCACTGTTTTCCATTGAGCCAGTATTCCACCTCGGTTGCAACAAGAAATTTTAAAACATATTTATGTTGCTTTAAGGTTTGTCTAACCCTTTACATTTAAAATCCTTTTAGTTTACAACCTCAAAGATTTTACTATGCATCAGTTTCCTTGCATAGCTGTCCAACAAGTCAGAAAAGCACTCAGATTTTTCTGGAACAACAGCCATTGTTGGAATAAGACCATGATTTATAGCAGGTACCAAGTCATTAAAAAGGTATCAGCACAAAAGTTCCATTTCCTTCTAAACACCTATAATTACTAAAATTAAAAAAGTAACAAAAAAATGTACTCCATGCATTTGGCAACTCTTTTCTTCCACTACTTGATCTGAGGAAGTGGGTCTGGCCCACGAAAGCTCATCATCTAATAAACCATCTTGTTAGTCTTTAAAGTGCTACATAGTCCTGTATTTTGCTTCCGTTTCCTTAGGTAGTCAGTAACTTTGTTCAGCTGAAAAGATCCTTAGAATTCAGGAGTCAGCAAACCTATGGCTCACTTAGGAGCCAAATATGGCTCGCGGCTTGAGCTCAGTCCCCCCTCTCTGCAGTGGGGACCCCGTGCTGGTGATCCAGCATCACACCCCCCTCAAGAATGGGGCCAGTGCTGGCTTCCTGCGCTGGATGCGGGGGTGATGCACATTGAGCAAGCAGGCACTGGGTGGGTGTGGGGGGCGGGCAGCTAAGGTGGCAGTGGAGAAACCGGACTTTGGAGATGAGGAGAGGCTGGATTTCCTAAAGGAGCGGCACATGCGCTACTTCCAGCCTGCCGGTGGATCCTGCCCGAGAAATGCTCTTCCCTGGAGACCCCCAGATACTGGCTGAGCTACTCCTGCTCCCTCTCCCCTGGCCAGACACCCCCCCACACCCTGCTCTTGCTCCTGGCACCGTATCTCCCACCCAGATTCTGCACCCCCATCCCTATATCCCATTCACTGGACCCCTCCTTTTTGGGCCCCACCCCAGAGCCTATGGGGGGGACCCATAAAATCCACTAACCCTGAAGTGCCAGAGGAGTTAATCTGGCCTGAAGCCTTGAACCTCAGTCTTCCCTGTCCTTCCTTCCTACCCCCCACAGGGCTGGAGCATCAGGGGAGTGAGATGTCTCACTTGGGGGCCACATCAGTGAGGGTTGGAGGTTCCTGGAGGTTTGGCTCCCCCCCTTGGTTCTCACTTGTGCGGCCCCCAACTGATTTTCCTGTGGGATAGTGGCCCCGACCCAAAAAAGGTTTCCTGCCCCTGCCATAAAGACAATGGAGATTGCCTATCTCCTAGAACTGGAAGGGACCTTGAAAGGTCATTGAGTCCAGTCCCCTGCCTTCTCAGCAGGACCAAATACCATCCCCGATGAATTTTTGCCCCAAATCCCTAAACGGCCTCCGCAAGGATTGAACTCACAACCCTGGGTTTAGCAGGCCAATGCTCAAACCACTGAGCTATCCCTCCCCGTGGGGGACAAACCTTGCATGTTGGACATAAGATTTTACTTTATTTAAAATTAAGCCTGGCCAACCAGCCCCCAGCTGAGGCCCAGCCCCCATCTGGCTGCAGCATCATGAGACTCCTGCACCCTCCCACACCCCAACCCTGAATCCACCATTCACGTGAACCCCCTGCCCTGAGCCCCTCATATCCCCAAATTCCTGCCCCTCCACATCTCCAGCCCCCACTATAAGATTGACAGAAGACAACCTGAATCTGTGCATGATGCTGGATTTGACCAGTTATGATATAAACTTCAAAGAAATGTGCGAAAAGATGCAGCAGAAGTCCCATTAAATAATGCCTGTGAGTACAAGGTTTCATTTATGCTGCTATTAATCATTATGTTAAGTAATAATATTAAGTTGTATATCTTCAGTCATGCAACTGGACATTCTTAGATGGCCCTTTATTGACCTGAGCACCTGTTTTGAATTTGGTTTGAAAAGGCTGACGGCCCCGTTATAATTAGTAGTTGGGGAGCAACAAAACCTTTACTCCCCCCCAAAAAAACCCCAAGCCATTATTTAAATGGCCCTATCCAAATTGTTTATGAAATGTGTTAACTTTAAAAGAAAATTCAATTGTAAGTGTCCCTTTAAGGTACCAGTCTATGACTGACATCTGTCTGACTCATCTAACTGAAGGAAGCGTTCAGTCAGTGAAGTCATGATCATGCTAGTCAAGCTGGATGAGAGAAATCCTTCTAGAGCACGTTCATAAGAAGCAGCTAGACAGTAGCTAAGTGACCAAAAAAAAAAAAAAAAAAAACCTCATACAATACAGGGAAGTTTATTTCCCCCCCACAGAGAATTTAGGAAGTCTGAAAAGCAATTATAAGGCTAGGATTAACCTTTAAAGACTTCAAAAATTACTGGGTGCTTATAGTAATGTCAAAACTGAAGGTACTCCTGCTGGAAAGGAAAAAGTTGCTGCAATAGTGGTTCTGTATTTGCTAGGAGTTTCTGGAATAAACACATGAAGTTAATTCCAGCCAAAGGTTTATAATTTCTAGAAGACTGAGGGAAGATTCCACTCTCCAAACCCCGCCGCCCCCCATAAGAAGAAGGTACTGACATGTGACTTGTTTAACAATGCCTAAGACAAGTTTGAGTTAGACCCTTCACAACTAATGCAACAATGATGGATTTGTTTACACTTAAAAAAAGGAGAGAGAGAGCAAGCACGCTCATGAATAAGTAATATAACTCATTTAGCTTTTTTATATTTGGGTATGCTGCTACCTACACTTTTAATAGCATTAGTACAAAAAAATACTTCTCCCCATCTCTCTGTACATCCATGTCTTACAAAACTGGCTCTTTAAAAGTAAATAATGTCTATGCTTTAGAATTCATGAAAACAATGCATCACGGAGATTTCTGTCAGGACTCAAAAGTAGAGAATTTTCACCAATACACTTCGCTTTCTCTGTTTGCTCTTCGGGGCAAACTTATGGCCTTTTGGGTGTCTAAGCCTCAGAAGACTAACTTTGACAGATTCACAGGTCACTAAGCTGAAAAATAAGCAGACGAGAGATTTCCCGAGATTTCCTCTAGTTTTTTTTTTTTTTAAACTTTGTGCACCATGTATAGGCAGTTCCAGTGATTTGCTGATGGTTACTTCCTGTCTCATGCACTAGCTGAAGACAGCACCTACACACTTCGCAGACACACACTTCTTAAAACCTTTACGAGTGGTAACACAGCAGAGCTTCTGAAACAGTTTGCTGACCAGGGCATCTCTTCTTCCTGAGCAAAGGCCAAACTGCTTGAAGAGAGAAGGGATGCATCTGAGAGAACCCCTACAGCAGTGGTCCCCAACCTTTCGAGGTTGTCAGGCGCCAGGGGGCGTGGCCGTTTGCCCGCCAGGCGGCGGGGACACTAGCGCGCCCGGGGGCAGGGGGCGGCCCCCCGATAGCTGCGCGCCCGGGGGCAGGGCGCCCCCCCTTGGACGGCTCAGTCCAAGAAGACGACGACATTTAGTCTCTACAAAGAATGTTGTCATTTTATCTGTAACTATTATTTTCCAATTTCGCGGGCGCCATGGCGCCCGCGGGCACTGTGTTGGGGACCACGGCCCTACAGGGCAGGGAAAAGAATACTAGGGGCCAAGTGCAACAGTAGAGGCAGAAGAAATCCTCTGTCCAGCTCCCTTCACCAGAGCCAGAATCTATCCTGGTCTAAGTGAGACAGTAGAGTGCTCCGGTCTCAAAGTCAACTCCTGCAGCAAGAGTAGTCACGCAGAGACAAGCATAGATGGGAACAGGAGCATCACTCTGAGATACTGAAAAAAAAGTGGGGAGGACCACAGGTGTTAATGTGACGGTGCTGCTTGCCAAGGGGAGACACCCATACACAACCTAAGACTACAGAGAAGGGCATGGGGAACCTCAGGCCTGGGAGCTGGATGCGGCCCTGGCTTGCCTGGATCTGGCCCCCGAAACTCAAGGCTCACCTCCTAGCATCGGGGAGCCCGTGCCTATTGAGGGACAGGAGTACACAGTCTACTAGCCTGGGCACCACTAAGCTCTGGTGCGCAAGGGGAATGTGGGGAGTCTTTCCTGCTTAGTCAAGGGCCACCCACATTAGTGAGATTTGGGTGGGGTGTTTCTTTGGGGGGGGAGGAGCTTCTCACTTGTGTGTGGCCCCTAACTGATTTCTGTGGGTCAGCGACCCCTGATCCAAAAAACGTTCCCCACCTCTGCCCTAGCACAATTTTAACTTTGGCTTTAGCATATTCCAAAAAGATCCTTAAAAATAGACCACCACACAAAACCAACCAACCAGCCAAACTGGCAGCAGGACAGAAAACCTGACTTGAAAAAAGCCAGACAATACAATGTTGATATGGTGCTCTATCCACTGCCAGAAACTGCATTAGCTCTTTTCCCAAAAAATTCAAGTTGACAGGACAGTTGCTCCATTACTCTTGAATGTTGTTAATTTTGCTGCTTCCAATCGACAGGATAGGAATTTCCCGGAGAACATGGAGCAACGGTATACATTACCTTTAAATATGATCCATAGTATTTTGTTACATAAGGACTATCACACTGACTTAGGACAGTTATCTCTTGCTGTATGTCCTCTATTTCATCTTCCGCTTCCTCAAGGTCTATGATTTTTATAGCAACCACTTGCTGAGTTCGATTATCAATTCCTTTAAAGACTTCACCAAAGGAGCCTTTTCCAATGCGTTCTAGTTTTGTGAATAGTTCTTCTGGGTCTGCTCTGTGGTTCTATTAAAAAAGGGAAAAGAAAGATTGTAAACAAGTTGTTTTACTTATTGCCAAAGGAATAACCCACTCCCTCCCCATGCAAGCACTGGTAAAGTTATATGGCAGTGCTAACATTACTACATTATCACCAGATAATTCAGATAAACTTCTGCTCAGCTTGTACTTATAGATCGTGTATGTTGTGCAATAAACGCAAGGGCCTGATCATCAACTCCCATAAAGAACAGACAGGAAGGAGCAGGGCAGTCAGGAAAATTCCCCTGTGTGTAGGTGACCAAGAGTGAGAGTACGTCAGATTCAGAAAGATGGCAAGCCGCGTACTCTACTGATACTGAAAAACTGGGACAAAGTAAGCTTAGAGCAGAGGCAGGAAGTTGGCTCAGAAGAGCTAAATATTTATTAGCTACAATGTAGAGAGTACATCAGTAAATAGGAGTTGTTCAAACAACATGCAAGTTGTATTTAAACAAGACACACAACAATGTGCTGCAACAATGCTGCCTTTGACCAATCTGTATTCTGAATGGTAAAAAAATCCTTTAAAAGATTACTATTTTAGATCTTAGAAAAGGGCTGCAACATCACACTTCAGCTGATGCTTTTGATACAATTTACTTTTTACCAAAGGAATCCAGAACCTACACTGGATTTGTAAGGCAGAATATGAGGGCGATGCTCAATAACCATGTTACTCATTAATTTACAACACACTGCAGAAGAGAGTGGGTGGGCGGAGGTAAGCCTGAGTTAGACCACCACCTAAGAGATCAAAGCACATTTGTGGGCACGCTATTTCAGGTCAGACCTCACTCGCATGGTGACCAAAGTCTCTTCAGAGTACAGGACTGCGTAGAGGTTCGCGGAAGCAATAAAGCATGATTATGAACACAAAGCACAATCCAGGCTTTAGGTCTGAAAATTTATCCTGCTGACTTTGAACAGGCTTTGATGGCTAAGGCGGCAATTGCCAAAGCACATTTGTGGGCACGCTATTTCAGGTCAGACCTCACTCGCATGGTGACCAAAGTCTCTTCAGAGTACAGGACTGCGTAGAGGTTCGCGGAAGCAATAAAGCATGATTATGAACACAAAGCACAATCCAGGCTTTAGGTCTGAAAATTTATCCTGCTGACTTTGAACAGGCTTTGATGGCTAAGGCGGCAATTGCCACAGTTCCCAAGGCCCCCTAGTAGGGGAGGGGATCCTCACTCAATGCCACATGCCCAGAGCACCCACTGTGGCACATGGGAGCTGCAGGGGTAGCGCCTACAGGCAAGCAGAGACCCTCCTGGACACCATGTCAACAGCTTTTGGGGGCTACCCAAGGTAAGCACTGACCCCCTCCCAGGGCCTGATCCTTCACCTCCTCCTGCACTAAATCCCCTCTCAGAGCTTGCACCCCACGCCCCCTCCCATAACCCCTCTCCTGGCTCCAGCCTGGTGAAAATGAGAGAGGGTGGGAGAGCAAGCAGAGGGGGATACGTGGGGGGAGGGGAGGTAGTGCTGTAAAGAATGGGTGTGGCAGGGGCATGGTAAGGGTGTCTGGGTTTGCAGGAGTAGATGGTTGACAATCCTACCAGGCAGGCTCGCAGTAGCGCTGGCATTGCAGGAACAGCGCACCCAGCAGCCTGCTGGACAGCCAGCACAAGACCACGCACATGTCAGGTGGCATGGGTGTGGCTTGTGCACGCATAGGGACCCGATAGACTGTTCTGCCCAGAATTGCTGGCAGTAGGCCTGACATGAAAGTATTTAGCTGGGATCACGAAGCGGGGAGACTGTCTTTGGCAAGCACAGAAATTGCCATAGTGGATCACGCTCAGGGCCTGTCTATTATTATTCATTACCGCACAACCCAATAGCCCTAGTCATGAACCCACCGTGTTAGGGGCTGAACAAACTCAGAAGATGGCCCCTGCTCCAAGTAACATCTAGTCCACCACCCTGTCTGACAGTGAGCAGCAGCACTCAGAGGGAGGTGAAAAAACCTGCAGTAGGCAGATGTCGGATAACCTGCCCCCACAACAGGTTTCTGCCTGGTCTGTAAGGATGCAACCAGGACAGTGAGACTCATGCTAGCGGAGTGCAAGCTAGCATGCTAACAAGAGCCGTGCAGATTTTGTAGGATCAGTGGAGGCTCAAGAGCGCCACCCGAGCTCACGCCCATCCCAAGCTCTAGGTCCAAGCGTGGGTGGCTAGCCAGGGCCTCTGCCAATGCCACAACATCCACATCATGATTTTCCGCTTGCCAGTGCAAGCCACATGAACACAAGCTTGTTTACCTGGGCTGGGGGGCTCACCTGCAGCGGTAGTGTGAACAGAAGCCGATTTCCAACTACTAGGGTAAGACCGAAAGCAGGAGATTTAATGGCAAAACTTTTGGAAGGGATGCTAATGACAACAACTGTGGATTGTGTAATATCCCCATAAATATGTTCAAACCCTTTTTGAATCTTGCTACATTCCTGGTTCACTTTTTAGTGCAGTGTTTCCAAAGTCCAATGTCTCCCAGTGCATGTTTTTTATCAGTTATCAGAATACTATAATATGGAGAACGCAAAGGTGAAAGGAGGCCCCATTTCTTCCAACTCAAAACCTCTTTAGGTGTGAATATCACATCACCCTTGTTGCAGAAGAAACCCTAAACCAGAGAGCAAGAATGAAGGTGCCAACGTGGAAAATGCTCTGGACAAGCGGCGCATCGAGACCTTGGCTTGTTGTTCGCTCACACTAGTGTCACTTTTACCCCTTTTACTTGGTGCCATCTCCATTTCTGCACCAAGGCACCATCCTCCTTTCATTCACATGCCTCCTGAAAAACTTACTTCTTCAAAGCCTGTCAACACTAATCCATGGCTCGCAGACAGGTGAATCGAAAACGTAGAGAGAAAACTAGAGCGAGTAAAAGGCATTTACATATACATTCCGCTAACAGCATCAAAACCTCACGTGCCCAGTCACCGCTGCTGAAGATGCCCATAATCCCTATTCCAATGGAAACTGTTCTGTTTGTCTCCCCATTGCACATCATTATTTGTTCTTGTCAGTATGGTAAAACACATAGGTGAACCACAGTAACTAGTTCCATGCTGGAATAACCTCTCTGTTTGGTATGTTCAAATACAAACAGTGGCATTCTCGTTGACAGACCGATTTAATTTGGCAATTACCATGTATTTTTGTAGAGCCCTGGCTTTGAGTGAGCTAGTGCAGTGCACTCCTGCCAGCCCAGAGACTGGTGACATGAGAAATGAACTACATTTTGTTTTTAACAAAGGAACCGGAACAAGTTAGCTTTCCATGTGATTTGGTTTTTGCTATAGCTCCCCATTAACTTTTTTTCCCTTCCCTGAACTCTCTTCACCTGTTTTCCTGGTTGTAGCAGGAACACAAAGGGAGAAGAGGAGCCTCAGAAGGAAAAGTGCCAATAGCAGGAGCTGGGATCTTCCTTCACTTGCATAGCAGGAGGCAGAGACAATAGTGGGAGAAGGCATCAAGCCACCTTGAAGGCATTTCACTGTAAGAGAAGCACTTCAAAGTGCCATAGTCCCTACCATAGGAGCACAGCTGTGCACAGTCTGCTCCATGCAATTGAGTCTAATGGATCTTGGATAATTTAGATGAAAAAGGCTCTGGTGTCTGCCCAGTACCCAGACAGGCAGGTGCCAATGAGTATAAAGCTACCCAGATTCTAAGATGAAAGGATCAAGAAGAATGAATTGCCGACTCATCTCTAGCAGCGAACACTGGAGGTCAAGGCAAGCCAGCAATCTTATTTCACCGTTCACAATGCAAATGTGCTCTATTTTATACTTAAGGTTCTATTCATATTTCTGTTTCTAGGGGCTAATGTCTAAGCTACAAAAGATGTGTTTTTCACAGGAATATCTGAGTCTCATTTGCTTGCGTTGTACTCCAGTAACTCAAAGGCAGCTTTTGGCAGACGATCGCTCTCATGTAAATACTTAGATATTTTGTAGGAATAGAGTTAACATAGCAAGTTTTAGAATCTGAAAGAGAAAGGAAATAGCACAAGCCTCAGAGCAATTTGCACAAGTTTTCTTTTGCCCACGAGAGAATGGCTGATAGCAAGTCCTTTACAGTGGCAAAAGCCATTTCTCTGACTCCACCAGCTGGAAGGAGACCCAACATAGAGTTCAAACAGAACTCTAGCACACAACATAACTAGACGTATTTAAAAAGATTCACCAGATGTCCAAGATCCCTAGTGTGGACACTACTTTAGAAGTTAGAGAGATTCCCACCAGTTCAACTTCAGGTTCATCCAAACAGACAGCAGATTAACTCCTTCTATAATAAAGCAGTCTTCACAAGTCACTGCACCTCTATACTTCCACTTCCTGTCTGTAAAACCATGCTGACCTCTTCTGTGACCCAGGGAGGGAAAACGCTGCATACATATTACCAACTCCTGACTTCATATCCAATTCCA